ATTTTCCAATTAATGTGCATTACTAAAACACCAGATTTTTCCAATGGCGGAATGTGAAGGACTTAGGAAATTCTTCAGGGCAAAAAAAAAAGACACTTGAATTAATTTTAAAACTGCCCAATGACATACTCAATACTGCATTCATTACTGTTGTCCAGGTTTCAGTAAAATATTCATAGCCATTTTTTTCTGTAACAGCTTGTAAAACTATAAATAATAATAAGGCTGGAGACACTGTTATAAATACACATTGTTTACTCCAATAGAATGAAGTGTTTCCAACTAGTATAACCGTGCTTAAATGGCTTCTGCAATGCTTGAATGGCTTCAAAGAGCTTATGTTGGTAATGAAGAAGAATTTGGGAAATGTTAGAGAGTGAAAATCTCAACTTTCAAGAATCAACTTAAAAATAGCCCTACAACCCTTGCAGGAGTTTGTTTAGTAGCTGTGCACAGATTTTGGTGCAGAATACCTTGCCATTTTTGCTGTAGGCTTCAGTGCTTGAATGGCTTCAAAGAGAAACTTGACCAGTAGCAATGAAAAAACTAATAAAATCTCTCCTTCTCTTTCAAGAATCAACATAAAAATAGCCGTATAACCTGCACAGAAGTTTTTTAATAGATTTGCCCAGGTTTGTATAAAATATTCATAGCCATTTTTTCTGTAGGCTCATGAAACAAGAATAATATGAATAATAATAATATGAAGAACAAATGGATGAATTTTGTCTAACAATCAGAAAATCAACTTTTTGGCTATCATCAATATTTTAACAGCCTTAGCCATTTGAAATAGAAGGTCTTTCAAGGACAAGTCTGTTTTTTAAGATGTTCTCATGGTGTTCATTGCTAGTGAAAGTTCATATTTGTCATCTTTTCAAATAATTTAATGTTTCTCTTTTGGCAGGTAAAACAGTTGGTGTAAAGAGCTGATTAAACAAATGGGGCATATTGTTAAATAGATAGAGGAAAGTTGTTTCTTAATTGGATTAATTTCAATATAATGGTATTTTGTTTTTATTTTCTGGTGTGACTTGTATGTTATTAGGTACTGTATAGAAAAGAACTTTGTGGACCTTGGATCTTCCATGAAAAAGCATGGCTTACAGCTGATAGCTTCCAATAGTTTTCCCCATACTTTTTTTTAGGAACATTTTGATAAGTTGCAATACATATCTTTTCTCACTTTAAATTTAACAATTGATACATAGTTTCATAAGATTAAATTTGTTGTTACTTTGCTAATATTATAAACCATGATAGTGGTTCATAATAGGGTTCATCCAGGGATTCCACAAAAATTCTAATAGAACATATGGTCAAAAATAAAGTCATTAATTTCAGATCAAGTAACTCAAATTAAATACCAAAGTATGAGCATATCGAATACCCTGTAAAACTGTTTTCTCTGCAATTCATATTTGTTAAGCACTGAAGAAACATGTTTGGAATAATGATACATTTTGTTACTACAGTCGTCCCTTTTAGATATGACTAACCTATCTGCCAGGATAAAAAAAGTTGTATCTGACAGAAAGTCATTAATAACTAGATAACACACAACAAATTTCAAGCTGTGCCAGTCGCTATTGCCAAGGTTTGAGCATAATGGTAAATACTGTTTAGGTGATCAGATAATGTAGCCAGTTGGTATAATAATAGTTATGTTGATGGATAACAGTTCAATAAAGATAACTTAAAATTTTTTTGTTTGTGTTTTATGTAAAATAATTTATTCATCGATCACATTTATTTCAAAAATTGTCACATCTCTATTTCATAAAACATACATGTATCACACTTATATTTCATACATGTAAAATATAACAAATTGACACCAAATTTATTTCATAAAAACATCATCCATCTTTGTTTGTTTTGTACATTTTGAATGTTTACAATTCTGGCAGATATGATATCGAGAAGTGTTTTGTTGTTCCTTTTCAAAGCACGGTTCAAATTTCTTCTAAGTATCCCACTGCTGTTCCTGCGGAGATCACTGGTTTGGGTTCTAGTTTGCCATCTTCATTGTCATCTTCAGTTAATCCAATCTTTATGGCATCTGCCCTGTCTTCAGCAAGAACTGCAGTGATGCCAGCATCATCATCACATGAGACAAACTCTTCCCATTACGTCCCATGCAGTAATTGCTCAATGTCATCTGTGGCAATGTCCTCTGGTGTATCTGGTAAAGTCTGGTTTATGAACTCACAGCATGCAAAACACTTCTGAATCGTCTCTGATTACAGCGACTCCCACGCATTTTTCAACCAGATTTGTGTAGAGTATGTCGACTTGACCGGCAAGACCACTGGCATTCTGTACCTCGGACATCTTCAGAAGTATGACGGAGAAGTTTCTTGCGATAAGTTGATTTCAGAGTCTTTATGATGCCACCATCAAATGGTTGTAAGCATAACATTGTGTTTGGTGGCAGGAACATGAGCATGACATTTGAAAGTTTCATAGGTGGGTGTGCAAAAAATGTTATCAACAAACATCAGAATTGATCAATTTTTTTAGCCTCATTCTGTTGTTGATTTTCTTCAACCAATCACTGAAGATGACTGACATCATCCAGGCTTTCTTGAATGCCTCATACATCACTGGTAATGATGACGTCTGAAATCCCCCTAAAACACCAAGGATTTGCAGACTGTCCAATGATGAGAGGAGTCAGTTTCTCCCCTACTCCACTGCAGCCTAACAACACCATAATTCTCTCCTATGAACTTTTGCCACCTTTAAATATGTTGCTTTTGATAACTTGAGACCAATTTGGCAAGGCATGAAAAAATAGGCCAGTTTTTTCACCATTGAAAATGTTCTCTAATGTATAGCCCTCACATATAGATACAAGTCTGCTGCATCAATCATCCACTTTGTCCTGGCTAATGTCAGCAACTTCTCTAGATAACATGGCTCATGAAACATTATTTTTGGAAGCATTCCAACCACCCATTTGAGGTGGTGAAGTCATCTAGCCCGAGTTCAACTGATAACATTAAAGTTTTTTCTTGTATCAACTTCCTAGAAACAGGAATTTTCTTAGTTCTAGCATCACAGAACTAATCAAACACTAGCTTGTTAAGTTCATGATTTATAGTTTTATGCATGTTTCATGTTCAAATTAGAACTGCTTTCCCCTAACTCCATGATTTTAACTTTATTAGCAACAACTGTTTGAATTTGTGTTTTGCCAATCTGCATTTCAGTAGCAAAATGAATACATTTGGCACTCTTTTCATGCTTATTGATGACTAACTTTTTCTGGGACAGAAATGTGTTTATGTTTTTGCTTTTCTTGAGGCTTGTGAGACAGTCAATCTTTCTACAAAAATGTAAGTAATTTATTCTTCGATATGTGTCATATTTAAACAGCAAGTCACAGATTAACAACTCACTGGAAGAATTACTTATCTGTCATGCATCATCTGACATCTCAAGAAAACACTCATTCTAACAGCTGATGGGCTAGTGAGGGTTTCCCAGCTTGCATCATGGTCTCATTCTCATGGCTACTTATGCACTACTCATCACAACACTCATGTGTCAACTGGTGTAATCAAGTGCTAACTGCTGTTGAAATTATAAATTTTTTCTGATCACACTGAATAATCAAGGTATAGATATTCATATTTTGAAGAATATTACATAAAATATGAAAATTTTGCAGCCTTGATATTCATTTTGATTCACATTATGGTACATACATGTACAAGTAAAATAAAATAAACACAAAACAAATACAACATTAAAAAAAAAATATATATATATATATACAGTATGGAAAAAAAGAGGTCATATGACCAAAGATTGCTTCACAGGCTAGTATAGGTATCTTGTACCCCAGGGTGTTGGTTTAGGATGGGGCTGTTTTGTTCAATTAAGACAGTTTCCTTTATTCTGCATTTATTGATGTTGGGTTCTTTGTTTAAAATTAGTGTTTTGTATGAATATACTGTGGTTTTAGAATTGCAATAGTGGTAAACATGGGAGGGTTTTTTTTTATGTTCGGTGAATCTTGTTTCCAATTTTCTTCCAGTTTCTCATTGCACATTATTTTATATATGATGTTGGTACTGTGTGATTCTATGTAATGTTTATTTAATAATGATTTTAGTAACCCAAATGTCTGTTATTTGAAGCTAAGGTTGAACCCAAATGTCTATTATTTGAAGCTAAGGTTGAACCCAGATGTCTGTTATTTGAAGCTTATATCAAACCCAGATGTCTGTTATTTGAAGCTTAGGTTGAACCCAGATGTCTGTTATGTGAAGCACATACTAAACCCAGAAGTCTGTTATTTCAAGCTTAGTTCAAACTCGGATGTCTGTTATTTCAAGCTTAGTTTAAACTCAGATGTCTGTTATTTGAAGCTTAGTTCAAACTCGGATGTCTGTTATATGACAGTAGGTATTTAATGACATGAAAGAAACAATTACAACAATTAGCATTTTTGTAAATGCTTAATGATTAAATATAATTTAATTTCATACAAGTACACATACTCCATGCAGACAGAACTGCATTAACCATGGGCTATTTTTTTTCAGAGATGAGTGTATGTGTATAGCCAACCTTGAATGATTAAATGATCGCCCTTCTCGTACATGATGATATATTAATGATCCATGAACCATATTGGCATAATTGTCACAGCTTTTATTTTTGTTCAATATCTTTACACCATCTTCTTATTTTAGGCATTACCTCTGAATCACCAATACAATATGTACACTTTGTTTTATTTTAGACTCCTAAAAATAAGTATATTTTTGCATGTAAACATGTATAAACATATTAGAGTTTAGAGATTAGCAGAATTTGATAACTGTTTAATTTTTGGGCTCGTTAATCAAATACTTTCATGAGGCTTTGATAGTTGAATGATCAAAAACAATAAGAAACACTATTTTCAATTAGTTCCTTATATGCATGAGTTATGACACTAATTAATTAAGCCGAACAGCTTTGAATTAATTGAAAATAATAACAAGAAATCATAATGGCAATATTTTAATTACTTGGATAGTTATAATAATAAAAAATGGTAATCCTAATATAATTTGAGAGAGATTTGTTTGTTTGTGTATTTGTTTGTTCTCCAACTCTTAAACTTTTGTATTCGGACCTGTCAAATATAGTTTAAACAACTAAAAATTATTTGTGATATGCCAGATACAGATCAGTCAGTGGGGGGCACAAGGGGTACTGATGGAAGTTCTACAATTTCATCTTTCATTACATGGGGTATATATATACATTCTTTGTACTTCCAACAATTACTGGCATATTTAGGACAAAACACAGAAATATTATTTATATTTATAACTGGTAAAACATTAATTCTACAATTGTATTTCATTTTCAAATTCCATCAATAATTTGAATACGTCTTTTTCACACACATTGCTTATACATACTTTCAAGATAGAAAAACTTATATTAAGTGAGATGTTTTTAAGTCACATTTTACTTTTTTCTTTTTGACAGAAAACCTTAAATAGGAAATAAAATGTTATTTAAATAATCAAGCCCAGTGGACATGAATAATGTTATTCACTGAGAGTCACTTATATCCGTTGATTTTATTCCTTCTCGTAGTAACAATAACCGAATAACATTAAACTTAGAAAAAACATTTTGCACAGTATTCAGTTTTAGTTTTAGAAAACTATACAGATTTATTTATTTTTACATAATCTTTATGTGTCAATTTCCAACAGTTTGTTGAGACACTGTTTTGAAAAAAAAAGTACTAAAAAATAATTATTTTCATTTTAAAATTTCAATATATCTTTTTTACTGTTAATCATTCCATTTTATATACATAGTCAGTTTCACAGTTTAAATTGATTGACATTTGTTAATAATATTTTATTTGATACTTTATTTGGCCAATTACAGTAGTAACCACTTCCAGCTATAAGTCATAACAAAAATGTTGGTGACCTATGAATTGATCTATCACAATGGTGTCAGGTCAGGCTTTTTCTAACAATGTTCTTAGTCAAGATCATTTTATATCTAATAAATACAGTTTCTTTCAAACAAATGAAAAGTTATTTTACTTACCTATATTGTTTGAGTACAATAAACTTAACAATAATATTGTATAAACATTATGTCTTCTCAATATTTCTTTGTCACCTGCCATACTCTCTAAACTTAAACAAGATTATCTAAAATCTTGTCAAAGAATAAACCTTTCACAGCCTATATTCAAATATAATTTAACATAATTACATTTTCAGGATTAAAAATAATGTCAAAAGAAATTAACCAAATTCCCAGAGCTGTGGTTTGTTCACCTAAACTTCCCACAAATTCTAGTGTTGTTCTTTGCAGAAACTACTGTACATCTATTCACTTTCCAACATAAACCACAAATTACTTTTCACACCATTTTATCCTCTCTACATTGGCATTAATAGTTTATAATCTGTTCTGTCCTATGACATTTAAACTTTGCCTGTAGCTATTTTTGAAAATTGAGTTTCATCACTAGTTGTCCAATCACCTGCTGTGATGTCATAAAAGGGTGGGAATCAAATGGCTATACTAACAAGATCAATGAAATAGAAGAAAAATTACACTACTAACAAGACTGATAATTATACACTCAAAGAATGATACCTTCTTAACAAATATAAACCTATGCTTTGAGAGTGGTAAAAAATATATACAAAAAATCAATAAGCAAGTTGTTTACAGATGAAGCTTCTCTGAGTTATACAAAAATATAAGTTTGAACATTTTCATTTTCTTTGTGAATTACATTAAACAAACATTGTTCACAAAATGACAGAACACCAGTTCTAAAATATTTTTAGTAAAAAATGTTGAAATAGCTAGAAATACCATTTTTTACTTAAATTTTGAAATTTGATCTGCGGGTGTGCATTTGAAACTCGATAGGAGCTTAACAGATTTACAGATGAGTCTGTGCAGTATATCATAAGAAGTAACAATTTCAATGTTGAAATACTGAATCACAAATAGTAAAGAATTAATTGCAGTTTAATACCAAAAAAAAAAACGTTCACCATGGGGGAGCTTTATTATTAATGTCCTATTACTACTATTATTTGTATTAGTGGTGAAACTAAAAATAAAATCTCAGTCCACTTCAAAATTTCATTTTTTAATGAAAATTTCGGGAAATTTATTAACATTTATAAAGATAAAAAATAATATACTTACCATATATACAACAAATGGAAGACAAAGCAGAAGCATCCATAGATAAAGATGAAATGTATTACAGAAATGATCTTGTCTTGGGTCATAAAACCAACCTCCCGTGAAAGAGGCCCAAATTCCCTGACGTAGTATTTCTAATGTTTGGGAACCCATTTTAAAAAATAACAGTATGTCAGTAGCAAATATCATAGAATGAATGGAATTTATATTTCATTTGATAAAAATAGGGCATCTATTTCAAAAATCAAGCTAAAATCCACGAGTAACATAGTTAAACGAACAATACCAATACTAGATAAAGCTATCTAAAGTATTTTAGCATTACTCCTATATCAAGCTATGGCTGCCTTCGATTAAAGCTTCTCTACAACATATAGCGCTATCTAGGCAGCATTATTTACACTTTTAAATCATCTATAAGCTGAAAAACCTGAATACTTTTTAAACTAATGATAATGAATGGATTTTAATTACTTATAACTAAAATGAAATTATCAAAATATCACTTTACATATAAGATAAAAGTAAAAATAACTAGACACTTAACTGTATAGTTGTTTAATCGCTATGGCAATTTAAACTGTCCGAGAAATTTAGTTTACTAAATAGAACTTGCATATTTTTTTTAAAGTTGTATGTCATACATTTAATTTATAAATTGCTGCTTGCGTCAAGCTTAATAAATCTGTTGCTGTGGTGGTGTTGGAATCGGATATTTCTGAAACTATATTGTGAGCCCATGTGGTGTCAATGTTCGATGTATTTTAATAATAATGTCTATATACATATACTAGCCGAATGCTTATCATATGACGTACATGCTGGTTCGTTTCATTGCTGAGAATTAAATATAGATATATGTTTTCTAAAAATTAATTATATTATAGTAACATACTATACAAATATACTATAATTATATTATAGTAACGATATATGTACAAAAATGTTTATCACTTTTTAGTATTTCATGAAACATTTTTTTTATGTTTGGTCATTTCTTGTAAGTGGTTCTTAATTAGAAGTTTGATTTATGTATATATATTTTTAGTTCAAAATGTGCTTCTTGATAATAAAAAAACTGATTGTTGAAGAAACATTATAATCCTGCGATTTATTGATTATGATGGTAAATTGTAAAAAAAAAAGAACCTGAGGGTGAAGGGAAAATGCACGAAGGTACAACTTTTCATTAAATAATGCTTATAACAATAACGTCTTTGTTTTTATACAGAATTTTAAGGGATTGTAGTTCAACATCGTTTAATGGAGAGGTAGGACAAAAGGTTTGTTTGTAGTTAAGCACAAAGCTACACAATGGGCTATCTGCGCTCTGCCCACCACAAGTATCGAAACCCGGTTTCTTGCATTGTAAGTCCGCAGACATGCCGCTGTGCCACTGAGTGGCAGGACGATAGGAATTATATCTCTAGAATGGGGAAAGAGCAACGTTTTTTAGTTTGGCTTTTATAAAATCTTGCGTTGTGTCGTTGTTCTATTTAATTAACACTGGAAAGGAAATAAGGGTTCTGTAAGTTTTTTCAAAATTATAAAGATAATTAGCAGAGTTTAGTTTGAAAGCAGGAATGCTAAAGTTAAGGCCTTTGATTAGAGCTTGGTGTTGGCGTTCTAGGTTAGATAGATGTTATCGGTAGAGCTTATATTTAAGTTTAAGTTCTTCCTCTAGAAGTTGATGTTGGCAGGCGGCATATGCAGATGAGTTCCGGAGTTTGTCATTTGCTACTTTGAAATGAATGGAAAATGGCGTCAGTTTATGTCGTCTGCATTCTGTAAGAAACTGACAAACTAATTCGAACAACGATACAGCGCAAAATTTTATAAAAACCAAACTAAAAAACATTGCTCTTTCTCAATTCTACAGATATAAATTTATAATTTCTATCGTCCAACCTCTCCATTAAACGATGTTGAACTAAAAATTTGTCTAAAAACGAAGACACTATTTTTACTAAAGTCTAAACCAGACAAGGGCAATGGTATTGTCATTATGAAAAAGGCTGACAATATTGATAAAATAAACCACCAGCTCAGTGACCCTTATAAATTAAAAAAACTAGATACAGACTTGTTATCTCTAACTTTTAAGAGAGAAAATAAGATTCTACGTTTCCTCTAATCCCTCAAAAGTCAAAATGCTTATAACATTTTGACTAAATTTATGAAAATCTCTAACCTAAGTTGAAAAACATCAATAATAATAATGTATTGTAGCGCTATCTATTCGGTTGAAAAGATATTTAAGTTGTGTTTGACATATACAGACACTGTTGTTTATATGTAATATGATACGATCCCTGATTTACTATATAACGTTATTCAGATTTTTCCAAATATTCAAAGCGCTTTATATAAATATCAAAAAAAAAAATATCTAAAAAATAAATATTAAAAACTTAACATAAAATACCATTTTGAATGGGATTTGGGTACAAGACTTCCACGAAGTATTACCCAGTCTTTGCAATCAAATAATTCAAATTCTTAATTTTAAAGAATCATGTTATTATGTTTTTCTTAATATTGTATGATCTTCCTGTAAATCTGATGAGTTAATAATGGAAAAAACTTATAAAAAAATGCCCACTCCACTGGGATTTTAACTTGAGACTAACTATTTGAGCCAATTTGAACGTTACCAACAAAGTGAGCATCGCTAACAGAGAGTGTAGCATTACCAACAAAGGTAGCGTTACGGTGAGAGAGTAGCTTTTATATGTATATAAATATATATGTATGTGTAAATTTTCTCATAGCAGCTATACAATGCGGATAGAGAATGTTTGTTTCTTCAAAACTGCACAAAGCTACTTGAGAACTACCTATACTTGTCATCCCTAATTCTGAAGTTCTGATAAGAGAGTTAGCACACAGGATCACACATAAAGGGTGTAATGAATTTTAAAAAAGGTCCAGAACTCGAGCGCTGAAGAATACTCAAGTATTAGAAATGCTCGAGTTTCGTGTCTTTCTTGAAATTCATCGTAATTAATTTTTGAAGTGATAAACTAGAGAAAAGATATCTAGTCAACACGACCCACTAACAACTCTTAGGCTACTCTTTACCAACGAAAAGTAGAATTGACTGTCACATTATAATGGCCTCACAGCTGAAAGAGCGAGCATATTCAGCGTAAGGTTTCAATCCCGTCCCGTAAGCCACAGAACGTGAATCGAGGATCTAACCATCAGGCTACACTTTAGAAAAGGCAGCAAGTCAACAGCACTTACTGCCAACTTTTGGTTACTCTTGTGTGACCGTTTAGTGGGATTTTATTGTCATTCGTGTAGTGCACCCATGACCATGACCCTAATGGTAAGCGCGTTTTACGCAAAGCAAGCGAACCATGTAACCTTTGAGCACACTATAATCTCATTGCCACGCCTGGACCAAGAATGATGCAGTGGGGAGGCAAGGGGGACACTTGTTCACCCTGGGTTATCAATTTTGCGTTTCCATAGTTATAGCTTTGATAGCATTTGGTCGTCTTGCTCCTCTATGTAATTTATCCTGCGGACGCCCACGGGTATTTTTGTCGATTTATTGTGTATGTAAAAACATCTTACATAGACGTGATTCAATTCATATTTTCATTTAATCGGGTGTAAAGGAAGTAAATAAATTAATTAGTAATCCTGTTATTTTAACAGGAAACGAACCAAACAGAAAATCTATATTGTTTATGTTTCTTTTCTTTTTCACTCCTTTACACCCAAAATACATTGAATTTGTTTGTTTGTCGTTTAGCACAAAACTAAACAATTGGCTATCTGTATCGCAATCCAGTTGTTATGTTGTACGTCCGTAGACTTGCCACTGAGCCACTGGGAAGGCGCATTGGGTTATTATTATTTATACTATTGTAACATACATCTACGGTGTAGCATGATCACGTGATTACATTTTTTTTAACTCGATTAGCAATCTGCTGGTCGCGGGTTTAATTTCCGTCTCTGAACATCTCGCCCTTTCAGCCATAGGGGCGTTACAGTATAACAATCAGTCCCACTTTTTGTTATCATAGAGTAGCGGAAGAATTGGCGGTGGATGGTGTTACCATACTGCCTTCCTTCTAGTCTATCACTTGTAAATTAGGGACAGTTACAACAGATAGCCCTTGAATAGTTCTGAGTAAAATTCAACAAAAATTTGGTATCGTGGGGTACTGATAATTAATTTAAAATTACGTCTTTAAGAATTACGTTATGTTGTTTACACGTATGGAAGAAGGTGTGGTGGCAATACTAGTATCTCATACAAAAGTTACCGGAACAAATTATATAATTTCCACAAAAGTTAAAAATAATTAAAAATAATGTATCTGTACCAGTTTTTAGTTAATGAAAAGAAATAAAAAACAAAAATGGCCAGAGCAAAAAATTAAAACAATAAGTTATCGAAATACAAAACAAAACAAACAAACAAACAAAAAACAACAAAAAGTGTAAAAGCTAATGACATTGAAAAAATTGTGATTTATCTTCAGAGGCATTTACTGTTATTATCGCCTGAAGTTCCTCGGAAAGAATTTATACCGGAAATTAAGGAAATTATCAAACGAGCAGAGACGTAACAGTATCATCTGTATATTGATTTCGCCAACTTTGTTGTTAAATGTAAATGTGACTACTAAGCTGCAAAGTCGAGTGTTGTAGAATTTGATGATTTTGTTGCTTCTTCAGTGTTATAATGAGGTTTACTTTTAATGACTTTACGGACTTCAAACTATTTTTATCCCTAATTATTTATTTTTCTTCTTCTGGTAGACTGTAAATTAAATCCATCTTCTTTGGTTGTAGCTATATCAAAGGTGTGATTTTTTCTTTACCTGTTAGGGCGAAACTTAGTTCTTTATTTAGCACATTCTTGTTTTTACATTCTGTTAATGATCATTTATTTGAGCCTATTTTAATGCATTAACTATTTCTACAGTGTATGGGAGCTTCTTTTGATAAGCTATGAGTTATATTTTCTATCTTTTGATATAGATTATTAAAGTTATCTGTATATTGTTCTAATTTATATCGTGATATTTTATTCTATCAAGAGTATGGTTTTTTTTCATACTATTTAGGACCTGGCATGGCCTGGTGGTTAGGGCGATACAAGTCCTTTCTTAATTAAAACTAGTTATGTTATGTTAAAGGTGGTTGACTATTGATTTGATGAGTCTTAAAATGTATTATTGGGTCTATTAGTTAGTAATAATGATATTGAGTCTGAGGTATTGAGATATTATTTGAGGGCGTCTATTAGTTAGATAGCGAGTATGCTGTAAATTATTTTTCCCCAGAGTAATAAGATTGCACATTGAAT